ATCCAAGTGCATCTGATGGATCTCATACCTGCACCAGCTGTTGTTTCAGTTTCTGTATCTCTGATATGTTGAGCTCACTCAGCAGGTCGTCCACCAAGCTAGGGACTGGTTTGAAGCCCTCTCCTCTCTTGTTCACTGCAGTTCTATTGTCTTCATCACTTTCACTCAATTTAACCAAGCCATTCTCAAAGCCTCTTATTAGATCATCATTGTCCGGTTCATTGATGGCCGAAGGATCCTCGTGGAGTTTGGGGTTATCGATGGAAATATTGAAAGAGCTACTGTACACAGAGCCGCCGATGGTCATATAGTGGGAAAGCTCTTTGCGCAGCGAGGCCTTCTGCTCACGCTCTGTCTTGATGGTCTCTAAAGCTTCCGTCAGCTGCCGCTCGGCAATTTCTCTCAGACGCATTGCTTCCTCCAGCTGGCTGTGCAGACACTGGCTGTCTTCCTCCAGGCGGCGGATCTCATGCTTTAGACCTTCAAATTCCACCTGTAGAGACAGCCAAAAATATAAATAACACAGCTAATACTTTTACACCAGTAGGCAGCATTTGTTATAATTTGTGAAACAGGCATGAGTGCATCGTGGTTGGCCAAAATATTAGACACAGACCCATTTTTTTAATGTAAAATTTGGTGCGTGCTCATATTTTTAAATTGTAAGGAAATGACATAATGACTGTGTAGTGATATTAGAACCAAAATGATAATATGGTTAGTCTGACTCATAAAAACATGAACAACACAGCTATTTCTGAATGATTTCCACCCACTACAAAACTTGAGTTTTATGGCCAGTCTCACCTGGTTCTGTTTCAGCACAGACACTTGTTTCTGAAGTGAGATGTTCTCCTCCTCCAACTCGCTGTAGTCCTGCAGCAGTCGAGCTTCCCGAACCTTGTACTCTCTGATGTCGTCTCGCAGCTGACTGCGCTGCAGCTCTGCCAGCTCTGAATTCTGCACACAAGAACGGGGACAACGGGAGAATAACTGGATGACCTTTCATTTAAACCTATGTTCACCATTAGCAAATGCAGTGTAAACCACAAAGTACACGCTTGCAATAGTTCAGCAAATAAGTTAAAATAAGGGCAAGAGTGCTTCACATGCCACAAGTCTTTGGCAGCCATGTGCAATGACGGAAGGAGGACATGGTCCACTTACCAATTCATTCTACAGAGAGCCGCGGTGGAGGACATCCTTTGTGTCACTCACTGCGGACCATTACATCATCTTTCCTGCTGGGCTCAGTGCAAACTGGCCCTCCCGCATGATAAGAAGCAGCTCTCTCACAACCAACACTGGCAACTTTTCGTAGTCTACAAGTCAACTTCAGTTAGCATTACAAGCTTTCATTGATTTCCCAATTGTGCTGCAAATAGCAGATCTCAGATTATGACACATAAAAGACGCCGATTCAAACTTTGGCCGACCATATACTATGATAAGAAAATGCTCAACAGGAGTTAAAGTGAGCATTTGAATGTAAATCGTGAGAAGAAATTCATATTGCAGCACTCTCAATACCTACCTCTCTCATTTCCAGGGCAATGGATGACAGGCGGTCATTTTCAGCTTGTGCACTGGCGAGGGAAGCTTTGGACTGTCGGAGCTCATTCTGTAACTCCAGGACCTTCTGCTGGTAGAGAGCCTCCTTACTGGCAGACTCCAATATCAAAGACTCTTCCCTGCTCTCCCCATCTGCTGCCACCTTTCTGTGGGTTGAGTAAGCATGTCCAAAGGCCTAAAGACAGACAGAAAAAACAATAGAACAAACATGTTTGATTAAGGATTTGTTACAAACCTGCTTTAAGACACATGCACACAACCACGAGCATGGCCAACATAACTAGTTAGAGACTTCAGTTAAATAAAGATCTACCATTTCAGAAAATATCACAAATGTGTGTGTATGGGGTACTGGACAGCTCTTTCTAATAACAATGACCTAAGTAAAATTCTCCATCTCAAGAAAGGAAATGAAACCACAGATAAGGAAATATACACGAGTATCAGTTCTTAGTCATCACTCTAAATAAAATTGCAGTTAAATTGGCGATGCATGGTTACATGCTACATTCACTGCGTTTATTTCTTTGGTTTTTATGAAGAGTTTTGCTGCAAACACAGATTACATTTGAAACTTATTCATACAACAATTTTGGCCAAACTGATTTTTTTAATGATAAAATGTTTCCTAACATGAATTTATTTCTCTATTTAATGACGATGATGTCAGCGCCTTTATGGATGTAGACATTCATTAGCACAAAAAACATCAAACATGATACTGAAACTAGCAGAGACAACAATTATACTGTAACAGAACAGTACAATCTGCATAATAATCACAAAGATAGACTAAAAAAAGAAGTGGATGTGACAATAATTAAAGCACATAGGCCATAAACAAAAAACTAACTGCCTTCAAGTGTATTTGTAAATGCTTGCAGCCCAGTAATACATGAAACCATGACTAATAAAAATAGAGCACTGCAGCATATCTGTCATAAATAAATGATAGAATATTATTTTAAAATATAGAATCTTAAAAAAAGTATCCAGTATAAAATAAAATACTCTGGCTTCATACATGACTCCCACTTGGTAAAACAGTTCAGTCCCTTGAGGATTACAGAAGAACTCAAATGTAAATTTCAAAATGTGTCAGAAATTTTAATTTTATTGACATTTTGACAGGTCAGTGTTTTTCTGCAATTAAAAAAAAAAACACTGTTCAAATAATCATCAAACACAAATCTGTATAGATATTGCTTTGATTTTATAAAATAAATATTTATCTACTTTAAAACAGATTGGATAAATGGCTAGCAATATTCCCAAAGCTGCAGCATGTGTTTTACTTTCAATGTTTAACCAGCTACTAGGAACAGTCTTTGAAATCTTTTTGCAACATGTCAGTTGAATGGTTTTACTAAGCAGGTGAACTAATTTTCAGAATAGCAGTAAATTGATGAATAATTTGATGCCATATCTGCACAGTTACGAACTAAACAGCTAAACACACATTAAGTCAACAGTTACTAAGTGGGGATGTGAGAGCAAACAGACCTCACTGTAGAGCTAGATGTCTTTTTCTGGCCAATTCTCAGTCAGACAAACAGATCTGTGTAACTAGGATCATAGTCATGGTCAGTCATGATGATGTGAATCAATAGGAGGCTGATAGAGGACGAGGATGGATGATTCCTTTACCTTACATCACTCTCAGCGATGTACTGTAGTAAGGAGAAACTGTCACAATCATGAGATACTAAGTAAATGACCACAACAATTAGTCACTTCGTGATGCAACTATAATCTATAAACCAGAAAATTACTGGTAGTGGCAAAAATCTCACATCCTCCTTTTTAATTTACATTTCATGATATTAGACTAGATTTCCAGTATAAAGGTATTAATAAGACTGCGACCCATTTAAGCCCAGCCTACACACAATGACCTATTGCCATTTCATGTGAACACAACCACTGAAGGACACTAATAATAGAAATTGGACATTTAGACATACAGCTGACAGACAGCAATGTGGAAATGCTTTAGGATGCACTTCCTCTACTGACTGATAGACTGGATGTGACAACAGTCTTAAGACTGAACTGAAGGGAAGTTCCCGACCACCCCCAACACACACACTTCTTTATTCTCTAATGAAATACAGACAGATTTTCCCACATGTTAGGATCTCAGTGGCTGGCGGTGCATCTTATGAGTTGCTGTGAAAAAGTGTTGCCAAGTTATCTTTGTTCAGCTTAATGTTTACTAGATTGATAGATGCCTTCACCTGTCATATTTAGCTGTAGAGGTTATTCCTCTACTGTGAGACTGAAGGGCCTTGGGGTTGGCTGACACTGTGGGTTAAAAATGTCTCAACAGACAAGCTATTAGGAGATGAAAAGAAACACAGATATTCAGGGCTGTTAACTTACTTTTTTATGATTTCACCACTGGAAAAACTTATTTTTAAAGAGGTTAACAGCAAATTGGCCAAACAGGCTTAAATGTGACATAAGCCACTGCAGCTACAGTCTGATTTCAAGGCCTCAGCCTTTGGAGCAAGTAAAGGCAAGTAATCAAAACTAATGACAGTTTTCATCCTTTAAGGCGAGGCAACATTAGGTAACACTGCAATATTTCTGCTTGGAGGTGGTTATGCATATTTCAAACTTCATATAATATTTGAGGAGGCAGGAGGGATATAAATAGACATGGCTGGGGCTCAGGGGAAGCAAACCCCACTACCGACTGCTTCCAGTTTGATCCCCGATGTCACTCTAAATTCCCACCGTGCTGCTATTATAACATGCACTAAGTTGCTCTCCTCGCCTTCACATACTGACTGATGCCAGGACTTATATCTGGCTGCGTGGCGGTGACCTCGGGTTACCTCCTTCAGCTGATCCAGTTCCTGTCGGACCGTCTCGTAGTCCGTCTCCAACTCATCAAATCGCTGCTTGAGCTGCTGTTTCTCCTCCAGCACCGCCAGCCCATACTCAGCCGCCTGGATCTTCTCCTGGGTCGTTTCGCGAAGCTCCCGAGTCAGACGCTCCACTTCGACTTGGAGCCACTGCGGCCCGGCTTCTGTCACCAGTACCGCCTCAGGATATTCCTGCTCCTCCATAGACATCTTGGCGAGCCGCCGACTCCCAACCGTAACGGGACCCAGCCCTAACTAGCGGGAGCAGCGGAGCAAACCACCAAGACCGCAAATCACTGCCTTCTTTGTTTGGGGCGCATTGTTGGGCTTAAACTGTGTTTAGCTTCCCGACCTTTCTCTCACTGCGGACCTCGACGGAGCTCAAACTGGACAACAGTTTGCTCATTCTCGATATTTTTCTGCCTCTTCTTGAAGCTGACAGAGGAAACTTCAGTTGAGCTCATCGATTAGAAAAAAACGCTCCCCCTACACGGCATTCAAATTAGCGTGACTACGAAGGGAAATGTAGTTTTAAGCGAGGCGCGCTACCTCAAGGACTCTTTGCTTCTGAAGCCGCGTTGACTTCAAGTACCAGAATGCATTGCGTTTGCCGAGACATGACCCCACAGTTTACTGAAACGCCATCTAGAGAATCAACTGTGAAACTGCAACTATAATTACATTGCATATTTATTAGGATCTTTATTAGAGTTTATGTTTATTTTTGTTATACTCACTTGTCGAATGAACAGTAGATTAGTTAATTATAGAAATATGATCTTCAGTCACTTTATTTATTAGGTACACCTGTTCAACTGCTCGTAAGCGCAAATATCAAATCAGCCAATCACTTGGTAGCAACTTAGCATCCAGGCATGTAGACATGGCCAATATTATCTGCTGAAGTTCAAACTGAGCATCAGAATGTGGAAGAAAGGTGAGTTAGGTGACTTTCATTAAAGTTTTATGATTGGTGGTGTCAGGCAGGCTGGTTTGAGTATTTTACTGCTGCTCGACTGAGATTATTGCAGACAACCATCTTTAGGATTTACAGAGAAAATATCCTGTGAGCATGGTTGATGTCTGCTTCAAGCTCATAGGAAGGCAACAGTAACTCAAATGGCAATTCACCACAACTAAGATGTGCAGAACAGCATCTCTAAATGCACAACTCGTGCAACGTTGAAGAACATTAGCTACAGTATCAGAAGACCACAGCGGGTTCCACACAAGTTGCAGCTAAGAACAGGAAATTGGACAATAGAAGATTGGGGGGAAAAAAACATTGCATGATCTGATAAGTCTTAATTTCTGCTGAAACATTCTGATGGTAGGGACAGAATTTGGTATAAGATGAAAGCATGGATCCATCTTGCCTTGTATCAGCTGCTCATGCTAATGCTGATGGCGCAATGGTGTGAGAGATATTTTCTTTGGAACACTTTGGGGTTCTTAGTACTAACTGAGCATCATTTAAATGCCACAGTCTACCTGAATTCTGCTGTTAGCCATGTCCATCTGTTTACACTGTGGCTATCTTCTATTGACTGTTTCCAGCTGGATAACCGTGTTCAAATGATCTCAAACTGGTTTCTTGTACATGTTCACTGTACTCAAATGACCTCCACAGTCATCAGATATCAATCCAATAGAGCACCCTTGGGATGTGATACAATGGGAGATTTGGGTCATGGATGTGCAGCTGACAAATCTGCAACTATCTGTAACTAAAAAAGGGGGCTAATGAATATAAATATATTTTAAAAAATCACAAAAAATATTTAATATTTTGTTTATGTTCTTCTTTATTAGAGAATGGAAAAAGTTTATTATAAAAGTAGCTGGCAATTAAGTACTTTTAGAAGTCTTGTTAAATGGTCAAAAGGTATCTGTCATAAATCGGCTCATGAACTACGTTGACTGACACCAAGTTGTGGTCATGTGATCAAAGAGTGCAAAGAGTGTCAGCTTTTTTGTGTAAAAATTTGAATGCCAAACAACTGAGGACCTGATTCAAATCTAGTACTTCACAAGGTGACAGAGCACTGTCTTATTGTTTTTAACCTTTGACACACGTGAATGTGAAAGAAAAACTGTGTCAGCGGGACTTCCATTCAGTGGTAATTCTTGGTACTGACAGTCCTTGGCAGCAGTTTGAGGAAGTTGTCTACTGAATGCTGTTTGTTTTGTTCAGCTACACCTGCCTGGGGACTTCAGGAGCAGCTGAGCTGAAATGGTGTGTACACCTGCGTTTCTGCCTTTCGCTGAGGTTTTCTATCTACGATTGTAGCTCTTGCTCTGTGTAGACACATTGTGTTATAAATATAACAATGTGTCTACACAGTGTGTCTATTGCTGCTTTCACTTTCTCTCACATGCTTTTTTTTCTTATTTCCTATCAAGCAGCAGTATGTTGTATTTTTTATCCATCAAGCCATTGATCATTTCTTTTTCAGGAGTACAAAAGGAAGTCAATTTTTGACTTTTATCAACACTGTATGTATATCTATTATGTTTATTTATTATCAGCAGATTTGGCAGAAATGTTCCTTTATGTAGAATATTCATTTGAAACCTATTATTCTGAACATTTCAGATAAATATTACCATTTCTATTCAATCTGCTTTGGACTGGGATGTGGAATGGCTTTCTATAGGCCATTTCGAAGTAAGTTACACTTTTTAAGCCGCCTTTCAAAGTAATTAACCCCTGGCTGAGCCAAGATTGATTAACGACCCATTTATTATTTTTGCTTTCACTTTCAGCACTCGCAGTTCCAGTATGTAATGGTATATTTTGCACCATAGCGTTTGAGATTCTTGGCATTTTTACTGGTAAGTAGAATTTTTTTATAAAATTCACACAAATTTAAAGCGAATTTTTTTTTCCAAAAAGAAAAATGTAATTTTACATAATGCACTGCAGGTTTTGCTTGTCACAATGTCTGTGTTGACTTTTCTACCCTGCTCAGACATGCCTGCCCATACTAAAAGATGTAAAGGTGCGCCCTACAACAAAGGAGGTATTTCCTGCTGCTATATCAGAGTCGGAATCCTAATTTTACATCCATATTTAGGTTTTGTATAAAAGCTAAACATTATACCATCAAACTCTCCTTAGATACCTACTGGGGATTTGCTGTTGCACTATTTGTTGCTTTGTTGCACCTCCACTCATATCATGGTAAGACCACAATACTTTAAATATAAGACTTTATAGAATACATGGAATATTCAGATACTCAGGGGATATACTGTTTTAACTGTGGTTAAATATTGTGTATTTCAGTTTACACACTATCGTATGGATGTGGAATCATAACGTTTGCTCTTAGAGGAGCAAAACGGAAATACAGCTCTCTGAGGTTTGTCCTCTTTACAAACTATTTTTGCACATTCCTGTAGAACACAGACTGTATAAAGAGCAGTGCTTATCAAAGTTTAGGGTGAAGAGTGTAGAAGGCCAGTGGGAAATATGGAGAGGAAATATGTTCAGTCAAAATGCTCGATCTACAAGCAAACACGGGTTTTCTTATATTATGGCACTGATCTTCATTTAACTAAACTTTAAACTCTTTTTCTTAATCGATTATGACTGATATGAATTGTGTGGTGGTGGATGTCATTATTTCTTTTTCTTTATTCGCTCCTGTAGGGGGCATGCTAGTACAAGTTTTAGGAACACTTCTTCAGAATTCATTCAATGTTTTAAAATATTTCTGAAAGTTGGGATTTGTATGACCCAAAAAATGCATTTGTTTGTTTTGAACAGGAAGCTGAGAGAGAGAACGAGAACCTGGTGGTAGTGATTTTAAAATTACAGTGGGGGGATTTACAGGAAGCTATTTAAGTGGTATTTAAGATGACGAGATGGCGACGTTTTATGTCACCGTAGAAACAAACACTGTAGTTTCCTCTTTTTTTCCACTATAAATGTCTCTGCAATCTTGTGAATGTATGTTATACCAATACACTGAAGTTCATCTGACTTTCATAAGATGGGCCTGTCTCATACCAATGCATGCTGAAACTGATGGCTGTTCATAAATTTCATAGATACTTTCCCATTATAGTTGCAGATTGCTGTTTATGAGCAGTGCTTAAATAACACACGTCAACACAAAGGCGAATAGAAACTATTGTAAATGGTCAAAGTCAAATGCAGAGGGCTTTATTACATGAAAGTATGGTACATACAAAATTTCAAGTAACAAAGAAAGTGTTCTTAGGCTGACACGCTGGACGTAACTAGCTATTCAACATCACAGCCCACTATACCCCCTATCAGCACTGGGTGGCTCTTCTTTGCTCGACGTTGTGTAAAGATTACACTGCTGTTGAGGTCCAAAAGCAGTGCTAGAGCACAAATGAACACTGAGGTGTGTTGGTTTACGGTAACTGAAATTTCAATAACAAAAGACAATGGTGAATAGAAATAAATTTAAGAACTACAAAAATGAAAGTGAAATCATCTGAATGTTTAAATTCTGGCTCTGCATGACTGCTCTTTATGACGTGTACACATTTCTTTCACTTTGTTTCCTATTGTCTTTCACAACAACAACTCACTAAGTTTCTGTCTGATACACACACTCTATGATAAACACCGACTTGAAAACTATGCCCCACTCAGTATTACAAGCTATAGCAAAACAATATAAAACCACTGTCAGTTGAATGAATCCAAGAGCATTAAGAACACATTAGAGCATCACACAGCGGACATGTAATACCGGATTTTTTTTTTTTTTTTTTTAATAGTGAGCATCCACCAATGAAAATGTCAGTTATGTCCACATCTCTGTCATTGAAATGGGTCTATAACAACGCTGGTATTATCAGTGAGGATATGCATGTTGCATGAATTTGTGTGTCTCAGTTTTTGGTGATAAATACACAAAAAGGAAGGCAAACGTGGAACTCTACTTTAATGTGTACAGCACAAAATCACATTACTTTAGTAGCCTACACACTTAGGGGTATTCACTGTGAACAAAATCAAAGAGTTGGGTGCCATGTGAATCGAAAACATACTTGACTACTAGCCTTATCTTCAGGGGTGTAATTGGATAGGTAGGTGGTTGCAGGGAGAAAGTTACTTGGCATTGGTAGAGCTGCTGACCATCTTGCGAATGGCCTGAGAAATAGCATCACGGTCGATACCGTAGATCTTCAGCAGCTCGTGGGGTTTTCCACTGCGAGGAATGTGGGACACAGCGAGACGGTGCAGACTGAAGCCAGACTCATTGACCATTGCTGAAGACACTGCTTCGCCAAGACCACCTGTGGAAAAACAGCAAAGGAATATATAAAAGACAAATGTGAAAGACAAATCCACTTAAATGCATTTTTAACTGTCTGGTTAATGTGATGTCTTAAGGATGGGACATTTCTAACATGGTCATCTCAGGCTGTGTGTGTAAAGTCCTAAATTCAGAAGTAAATAAAAAAATGAAATACAGGTAGCTATATAGAAAAATTATGCCTTTGAATGATATTGTTTTACATTATTTCTTATAGATGTAATAATGTAGCAAGTACTGTATTTGTAATTTTGAAGTACTGCCCAATTGTGTCTAAGAATAAAAACATGGAGCAGGAAGTTCAAGCATATTTGGCTCCCATTACAGTATCCAAAAACACTGAGCCTCTGTGCACACATTACATAAAGGGATAACAAAAAAATCATTACAGCTAAGTGTAAAAATGATCCCCTTGAACGTTGCACCACAACTGTTCCAGATGTACAATGAATGAGATGCACAACATCAGACAAATTACAGTTGTTAGATTTCCTTTGTCCAGCCTCATCCATTCCATCACCCATCCCCTTTCTCTTAGTAGGCACAGGCCAGAGCTGTCTGTGTTATCTAGGTCACAGTCAGCCCCATGGGCACCCGCTTAGCTAAGGAAATCTGACAGCACTCTGCCTCCATGGCTGTCGCACTTACAAAATGCACCACAGTACCAATACCTTGCCTGCAATGAAGGCACGCGACAGGCGGTCTCAGCCCTCAGCCAATAAGCAATTGCCAGCACAACCCGTCTACATCAGTGAACCAATGGAAACATGCCACCACAACACTCCCAAGGATATGCGCCAATGACGAGGCGCAGCCGCATTATGCTACTGAGCTTGTTGCTGCTTGGTTGGCGATAGGCATGCAATATGCAAAATCCAAGCAACTTCTATATAGACCTACCTTCGTAGTAGTGGTCCTCGACAGTGAGAATCCTTCCCCTGGTAGCACGTGTGTGGTCGATGATCGTTTTGACATCCAAAGGTTTGAGTGTGAAGGGGTCAATCACTCGGACAGAGATCCTCTCTGGAAGATGAAAAATACAATGCATAAAGATACATCATACGGTTAACCGAACCACAGCGATTGAATATAGGATAATATAGCAGTTCTGCCAACCTGATAAAGAAAGCATAGTTTGTGCAAGAAACACAAAAACTAAGATCAGGCTAACATTTAAATGACAAACTGAACACAGAACCATTCAAAACCTATTCTAAGGAACAGCAATGGTCTAACAGATACATTCTAAAAAAAATAGAGATATAAATCTGACCAGCTAACAGCGGATTACAATGTTTTTCTTGTAATTGTTCTGGATGTGTCGGCACATATCTTGCGGACCTTTCTTTAGATGTTCAGCTGCAGCAAGGGCCTCGTGCAAAGTCACTCCAGCTGCCACCACAGTGACCTGGTCGTCCTTGCTTTGGTACACCACCTGTCAAAGAGAAGGAAATGTACCCTCTATAAGCTGTAGTGTTTCGAGTGATTATTTTGGAACAATAATCTGCCATTTCTGCCTCATGTGTTTATCTCTCACTGTCTTAAGAGAAGCACAAATAGTGTCTCACCTTTGCCTGTCCAACATGGAAGTCCTCATTGCTGTTGTAGATGATAGCACAGTCTTGGCGGCTGGTTCGGATGTAGCAAACACCCTAAATGAAAATGAAAATGAAAAGATCATTACTGCAATAGATGATCATGTAGGGGAGCTGTAACGCTGCCATTTTTGTTTAAGTACCTTTGTGGTTGCAGCCAGTTCCACAGCCTTCTCTGTAGACACACCATCACAGGGATAGAAAATGGTTGCTGTGGGAAGGGCCCTGAACATAGCTACATCCTCCAGACCCATCAGGGCAGGGCCCTCCTCTCCTGCAACATACACATTTATAGTTGATTTTATGCATTCAACACTGAGGAAATCTTCAAAAGTTATCTACTTGTTAGGTGAGCTGAAGCATGCAGGTGCACAAGCATAAAGTTCGGCTGCATGCAGTGTACCTGCACTAACAGAGGGACACTTGGTTCCCTGTTGACAGCTTCCAGGGCAGACACGAAAGGAGAAAAGGGGGAAGTTTGAGTAATAGCTGTAAGGTCAAGGAGGGTAAATGGCAAGGAAAACACAGCATTAGAGGGGAAAAATAGAAAGGATTGAAACAACTCACAAACTGACACAGACTTCCTTTGTATACACTTGTGCATTTATTAAGGAGGCTGTGGATATATTCTGAGGAACTGGGTGCTCTGAAGTGGTTCGATTCAGTGTAAGAGGGGATGAGGGTGAATTTGTGAAGGTGTGAGTTTGGTGACATGTATGAGAAGGGTTTTTATGTGAATTGCTCATTGGTAGCAGTCTACTGACCGGTGGACAGACCGCAGTGAGAGCCGCACAGATTGATGTTGCTTTCTGAGATCGCTGCCATACGAAGCTGGTCATAGGCGCGAGTGAAAAAGGAAGCAAGAGTGCTGGCAAATACCACATTCCTCTCTCGGGCAGCACATCCCATCGCAACGCTGACCTGGGAAATGAAATCATTATTTCTTAGTACCTTTGCGAGCGAGGAAACCTTCATGTGCCAAACTAAAGAGACACAGGCTGCAAGAACGTCACCACAAAAAGATCACCCAGAGGGTAAAATATCTGTAGTGCAAACCATATTTGAAAGCCTCTTTGAACTAAAGACCACAGTAAGCAGAAAGTTTTGCAAAAATCTCTGAAGCTTATTTTACCATATGGACAGGATCAGTGGCATACCTCCTCTTACAAATAATTTCCTTTGTCCTGTCTCCAAACCTTTCCACAGTCCCACATCTTCTCTTCTTTCTCAAAAGTAACATCTGACACTACATAAATGAATTCAACGAAACTCCATTTGTTTTTGTTTGTAACTAATTAAGTTTTTGTACACTGAAAAACACTAACATGTTGGATTTACTTAATTCAATTGTGGACATTGGTTGCACACAATCGTTTTGCTTTGGCAGACAATTAAACAACTGAGTTAAAAGAAGTAACAGTGCTAACCACCACACCACAAAGCTGTCCTTCCAGGCTTAACAAAAGTAGAAAAGCTATGATTACAAGGCTTGAAACAGAATTTTCTGTTTGTCCTTGACATGTCATCTCAACAAGAACAAATGAAGTTGTTGAATTTCAAACAGATCCTACATGTTTTAATTACATTCACCATAGAAACATGAAATTATTTTGCTCAAATTACAAGTTAGACTTTTGTAAATGCAACAACCAACCAATTTCCTTTTTTTCAGTGTAGGTGAGTCTTGCATATTTTTTTAATTTCATCTCGATTGTACCCTTGAACTTTTGACTTTTCTCATGCATTCAGCCAGATGGTCCCACCCTCTGTAGTGATTAATATTTTACTTCTGAATACACTTGTCATGACTGCTTATCATCATGGAAATGCCTGACCTACATTGAAGCAGGCTGCTGCTGGGGACATGAAAAGACAAGAAATTAGAATTCGATTGCCTCTCTTCAAATTAGGATCTGATAAAATGTTGACCGAAGCAAAATAAAGGGGTTTTCTAACCACTGGTGTCAACAGCTGCCACATTGATGTAAAAGGAGGAACTTGAGTTTTTTATGTGACTATCCTTATATTACAGGGCAGGTACAGACAAGCCATCTATAATTTAATAACATAAGCTCAGCTCAGCAGCTGTGGCAAGCTAGGTTGTGCAGACAGCAAACGAAGAGCAGTT